GCACCTTGTTGTCTCGGATTCTCCAGCATCTGCAGTTCCTACTATCATGGACAAGTGCAAGTTTTTTTTAACTTAAAAAAAACTAACATGGGTTTCTTTTATGTTAGTTCATGTTCAACTAACTCAGGAGGATATTTTATCTTTGAAGAGTTCGAGATGTGCCTGGACTTCAAGAAGGCATTTACTATTGTGCTGCTCAGCAGACTTGACGAGGCAGTGGTGGAGCGGTAATGGCATTGGATGAGTAGGCCAGCAGCCTCTGTTTCTGTTGTAGAAACAAACTCACCAGGTCTGGCAGCATTTTTGAAGAGAAAATAGTTCTGAGCCCAGTGACCTCTGGAATGTCCTGTGAACACTGGTTCAGATTCCATTGTAGCAGCTGTGGAATTAAAACTCAAATTTTTAAGTCTGCAATTGAAAATTCACTGTTGGTAATGGTGACCATAACACATTTTTTAAAAAAAGGCTGGTTTACTAACATCCCTTGTATGGCTGTGGATCAATATCCTGTTTGGCCTGCATGTGATTCTAGACCAACAGTAATGCTAACTCTCAATGAGTTTCTGAAATGCTGAGCAAGCCACTCTGTTCAAGGACAATGTATGCTGGTTTTAGAAATGATGCCTACATTCTGTAAAAGAGTGAAGGAGGCAAAAATTTATATTTGTGGCTGATACAAAACTTAAGTGTTATTAACAGAGCTTCAAACAGGCAGGAAGTTAGTGGAATGGTTGGACAGGTGGCATATGAAGTTCAATGGCAAGAAATGTGAAATTATTCACTTTTTTTTAATGGTTCTAAATTGAGGTAGAATGAGGGGATGTGGGTATAGAGGGACCTGCATGTATATGTAAGTCATTGAAGGTAACAGGACAGATTGAGTGTAGTTAATAAACTGCAGTGTATCCTAAGCTTTGAGTCCGAGAGCAGGGAGACTATGTGAAACTTAAGCCTCAGCACTGGATCCAGTTCAGGGTGCCATCCTTTCATAAGGATATGAAGGTATTGGGGAATGCAGAAAAGATCTAAAAGAATAGGATGAGGTCTTTCTGTTGTGATGCACATTGGAGAGGATAAGCATGTTCTTTTGAGTAGAGAAGGCTGGAAGGAGAACTGTGGAAGGGTCACCGGACCCGAAACGTTAACTCTGTTTTCTCCTTCACAGACGTTGCCAGACCTGCTGAGTTTTTCCAGAAACTTTGTTTTTGTTCCTGATTTACAGCATCCGCAGTTCTTTTGGTTTTTAATTGAAAATCAGTGTTAAAATTCTAAGTGATGTAGAATCACAGGGACCTGGTCTCCACGTGCAGACATTGTTGCAAGTAGAAGGACAAGTTAAGAGAGCAGCAAAGAAAGCATACAGTTGTCTTGTCTTAAGAGCATAGAGTAGAAGTGAAAGAATTAGTATACTTAAACCTCAGCTGGAGTATAGTGTACAGTTCTCCTGGATGTCATGTTCGAAGAAGGATGTAGAAGAGCAGTTTACAAGCATCAGAGAACAGAAGAAGAACGGGAGTATGGCACAGGAACAGGCCCTTTGGCCCTCCAAGCCTGTGCCAATATCATGCCCTGACTAAACTTTTTTCAAAAAAAACAAACCTGTCCTTATTCGGTCCATATCCCCCTCTTCTCTCCCTATTCATGTAACCATCTGGATGCCTCAAATGTTGCCAATGTGCCTGCTTCCACCATCTCCTCTGGCAGTGCATTCCAGGCTCCTACCACTCTCTGCATGAAAAACTTTCCTTGCACATCTCCCTTAAAACTTTTTGCCCTCTCACCTTGAACCTGTGTTTCCTTGTAATTGAAATTTCAACCCTGGGGGAAAAGCCTCTGATATCCACCTTATCTATGCCTCTCATAATTTTGTAGATCTCTATAGGTCTCCTCTCTGTCACAGTCTTTTCAGTGAAAACAATCCTACAGGACCCAAGACTGATCCCTGTGGAACCCCACCTAGTTACTGGTCTCACTAACCTGGGATAGATCCCATCTGGCCCTGGGGGCTTGTCTACCTTAATGCAATTTAGGATACCCAAAACATCCTCCTTGAATATATTGACATTCTCTCGGGTAGTCGCACACTCATCCCCAACCTCAACATCAGAGTTGTTCTCCTTGGTAAATATTGATACAAAGTACTTATTAAGAATTTCTCCCACTTCCTGTGGCTCCACACACAACTTCCCTCCTTTGTCCTTGAGAGGGCCTACTGTTTACCTTGTAACCCTCTTTCTTCTAATTTAAACATTAAAGACCTTGGGATTCTCCTTGGCCCTGTTGCTGAAGACATTTCATGGCCCCTTTTAGCCTTACTAATTCTGTATTTAAGTCCTTCCTAATTTCTCTGTACTCCTCTGGGGCTCTTCTTCAGGTGAAGGGTCTAGGCCGAAATGTCGACTCTCCTCCTCTAATGCTGCCTGAAATGTGTTCCTGCGGCTCCACAGTGTTTTGATAGGATATGATTAAGCAGTTGGGAATCTTCTCCTTGAAGAGAAGGAAGCTAAGAGGAGTTGATCATGTAAGACATTTTCAGAATCCCAAGCAGGGTGGATAGAGTTGATTTGGTAGAACTGTACCTGCTCATAAAATGAATGAGTAGAGGTCATAGATATTAAGTGATCCGCAAAAGAAGCAAGTATGAAGTGAGGAAAAACTTACACCTAGTGAGTAGTTAAGGTGTGGAATGTGCTGTCTGGAAATGTGGTGGAGACATGTTTAATTGAAGCCTTCAAGAAGGCATTGACTGCACATTGTGCTAAAAATGCACAAGGTTATGGGTATAAATCAGGAGAATGGCACAAAGGTAATGCTCAGTTACCAAGCTGGTGCAGGAATGATGAGCCAAATAATGTGCAAGAGGCAGCCATGAAAATCCCTTCTGTGATTCTCTCTTCGCAAGTTCTTTCTAAACTGGTGTCTTCTCACTTCAGCTATGTAATCAGTTCCATCATCATCAAGACTTGCACGAATCTCATTTCATTTCACTAAGCAATTGGCAAAAGTGCAATGGGGAATTTTTTCAGTCAAGTGGTTAAGGTTTAGAAGGCACTGCCTGTGGTGTGGTGGTGGCAAGTTCAGTTAAGACACTCTAGAGTGTCTTAGATTCTTATTGAAAATGAACAATGTTACAGGAAGATGGGCAAATGCTATGTGACTGTTTACATGTCGAGCAAATTGGGCATTGTGGATTGCATGGCTGCTTCCTATGCTGTAACAATAACATTTTACATACTAACTTTTTATTTTGGGTTTGATTGAAAGTAACAAATGGTGAAACCTGAAAATTGCTTCTGAGCCTTTGACATTTTGGATTTACTCTTAGTTACTTTTTTGTTGTTGGAATACTTGGTAGATTTCTTCAATTGGCTGCAATGGAGCTGGAAATTTACCATGTTTGAGCCCCTGACTGGCTAGTTGACCTTTCTCGGGTCCTAGGAATAACTTTTATTTTTAGGTGCAAGAAATACCAGCAGAATCAATCTGGTCATCTATGCGTGTAGGTGGAGAAAAATGTAATGCAACATTTCAATGTAACACATCCTTGGCGAATGCTCAGTTTTTCACTTTGTCCATCTATTCTGCCATGTTCCATGCAACTGCTTTGAAACCAATTGCAAAAACGTAGGTGACTGTTTTGTTTTTTTTTTTGCGTTAGATAAGAAGAATTAAATATTCTTGTGAACCCCCAATATTTGGGTAAATTGGGCAATTTAATTGAAAATTTAATACTAAGTTTCCAGTCAATAAGTTACAAAAACACAAATGCAACAGAAAATTATTCAAGGACAATGACTGTTACATGCACCAACCTCAAACTTGATTTTCCAATCATATATAATTTCATCAAGTTGTGAAATACCACAACTTGACCAATTTTAGAAAAATATCCTTAGGGTCTGGTGTAATCAGAATGTATGTTAATGGATCTTTTTAAAAATTGAAATAATATCAATATTGTGTATTTAACTCATGGCTGAATTGCAATCAAATTAAGTCTTTGACTACTTTTAAGTTCACTTTTTTCAATGTAGTTTGCAGACTAACATTTTTTCTTCATCTTGCAGATCCTTTTCAGGTTTAATATTGTAATCATGATGGGCAAAGTCGGCATTTTGATCCTCAGCATGCTTGTGGAATCTGTCCACTGTCAATGGAAGCACACCCAAATATCAGAACTTGGGTCAGACCTGGGGATGAAGATTTTCAATCATGTTGTTAACTCCAATCCAACAGAGAACACAATTGTATCTCCCCATGGAATTGCTTCTGTACTCGGGATGCTGCAGCTAGGTGCAGGTGCAAGAACAAGACAACAATTGAACATTGCCCTGAAATACAACTCTTATGGTTTGTTTTAATCTTTTAGCATTTATAACACTTGATATCAACTGCCTCTTTCTCTCTAGTTCAGCATTTTGAATGAGATTTTTATAACTTGGACCATAGTGGCAAAAAAGAAATTTGAGTTTTCCTTGATTTTTGGAAAATAAGTTCTCATTCCCATGGCCATTGTTTTTGGGATTGTGATGACTATAGAAGAGGCTTCCAATACCATTGTTCTGTCTCTAATGTTTGATCCACTTCCCTTTTTTTTTTGTTAGTACTAGTACAGTTAGTAAATGTCTGTTCAACTCTAACAGTTACCTGGATGTAGGCATGGTGGCTAATTTCAACTCTTGTCACACTTATTATACACTACAGCCTTGGTTAGAGTTATCTCTTGCAATTAGTGTTTTCTTTGTCTCCTTGGTCTGTTTTCACTTATATAAGCGTGACATAATCAGTTAGCACTGATTTTATGTTCATTCCTTACCACACAACAACTTAAATCCATTTTATTCAAGTATATGTAATTGCTGCATTTTGCAAGTTGTCCACAAGCATTAATATTTTTCAGGCACTGCCTTGAAATGATGGTTCTGGTAGACGTTTATAATGCTTGTGGAACTTGGAACCCAGTTTTTAAAAAAAATCTGATCTTAATTCCAGATGACATTAGATTTGTTCAGCAGATGCTGATTGCAATTGCACTCTGACAAGCAAGGAACATGTTTTTGAGTTTCATCCAGTAGCCATGTCCTTGATAGTGTTACTATGGCTTTCTAGGCATATTCTTTCAAAATTGAAGTGTTAGTTTCTTCTATTAACCTTGTATAAAGTGAATTCAGTTGATGCAACTTCAGTCATCCCAAACATTAACATCAAGTTTAATTTTCCATAATCATTTGGTAACATGGCTGAGTAATTATTGATTTTTACCAGGTAAAGAATTATATAAAATGTTTTGACACTCAGACAAGAGGTCCTATTTGTAATGCTGAATAATGCAGTTCATGTTTCTAGAAGTCACTGTTATTGCTATTGATTGCATAGCAACATGGATACCATGTAAATGTTGGTGGTTGGATTACATAGTAAAAACACCTCGAATTCAAATAATATCCTATGACTTGGTGAAACATCTTGGATATTCCTTGGGTTCATCTTGCATACAAATATTTCACTTATTGTATGCAATTAGTGTAATAGTACAACAAAAGTATGCTTTCAAGGTAACTTAAAACATTGATTAATTCCTTACCAGGTATTTACAAAAAACTCAGAAGGATACACAAGTCTCTGACCGAGAGCAGAAATCAGGACATAGTAACTATTGCCAATGGAATATTTGCACCCAGTGACTATGCAGTGGAACAATCTTTTCTTAAAAAGATTAAAGTTTTGTACCAAGCTGCAGTGAGAAATGTGCATTATGAAAATCCTGTGGAAGCTGCATCAGCAATCAACCTATGGATTAGAAATCAAACCAGAGGTATGTTCTCACTTTATATAAAGTGGAGAGACCACCAGCATAATTGGCTGACATATCTGCGTTTGCGTGCACATGAGATATGAAATCATGCCTGGTGCTTACACATTGACGTGCAATTTCTGCCATCAACAATGGGATTTAACTGTAAAGTGAATTTTGTGGATTACATTCAAATAATCTGTTTTACTGAAGTAATAAGATTTGAGTCTGTATCTTAGGTATGATTACAAATCTGATTTCACCATCGATGCTCAGCGGACCCACCAGGCTAGTGGTGGTCAATGCACTTTTTTTCAAGGGTTTGTGGAAGTCAAGGTTTCTCCCAGAAAATACTCGCAACAGGGATTTCCATGCAGCTGATGGAAGTGTGTATCAAGTTCCAATGATGTCTCAAAAAGCAACCTTCAACTTTGGTAAGTGTGGCATTAATTAGAATGTCTGCATGTAACCTTTTTTGGCCAGGTGCTGGATTGGTCAATACACTTGGAAATTATCCAATCTGTGCAAGATGTTGAAGCAACAAAGTGTATCGGCTGGTTTTGTACTTGCATTCCTGAATCTATAAAGTGCAGTACATTAAGAAACTAAGTTGTGTGTAGGTTCACATCGTTTGAGCTATTGGCTATTGGGGGTGAGTGGTAATTACTTCATACCTCCCTATGTTAAGTATCTGAGAACCCTGGCTTTGTAATCTGGCTAAAGTTCTCAGCCAGACCAATGTCTGAAATCTGTAATGTATGTTGTGGAGCAATGACATTTTTATAAGTGGTATTTCAAGGTTACTTGTGTCATTGCTACCACCCCAGCAGAGGAGTTGGCCTAGCACTGACCAGCAATGAAACCTTGATCTTTGCTAATCTGTGTGGCTTTAACCTTTTTTTTTTAAGCTAGAGATAGTAAGATGCTGGAGTCTGAGATAAGTGTGCAGCTGGAGGAACACAGCAGGTCAGGCAGCAGAGGAACAGGAAAGCAGACGTTTCAAGTCGGGACCCTTTTTTTTCCTGAAGAAGGATCCCGACCCGACCAGGAACAAGAAAGCTGCTGTTTCAGGTGCTGCCTGGCCTGCTGTGTTCTTCCAGCCCCACACTTATCTTTTTTTTCTTGCTTTTTTTTTTGATAGCAGAGAACTTGGGAGATGTATTCTATATGCAAGAATATTAAAGGGAACAATGTCTCCTATGAGTGATTTTAGCTGCAAGTGGATTTTGGTATGGGCATTGCCATAAGTTATGATAGTTAATTGTCAAGCTTTGGTTAAATTTAAACCAGGCAGCTTAGCTCAGAGCCAAAGATTTTGCCCTGAATGTAACAAAGAATGGCTGGCTGTTTGTATCATTTCAACTTAAATGATTCAAATCTTCTTTCTGTGCAAAGAACAGGGTCATGCATAATATTAATATGCATGACCACCAGTATGTGTGAGCCTGATGACACATCTTAAGTTGGTTGGTTGTCCTCCATTATTAGCCCATTCTCTGGATTCGTTAAATGCAATTCTGCAACTGGATTGTTATTAATTTTTGGACTCTGGATAATGAGCTTTGCAAGCAGAGACTGCTTGGGTAGAGTCTGTAACTTGTCAATTGCACACAGCAGAATGGGGCATGCTGTTTAAGGCAATTTCCCTGTCTTTGGGACGTATGACTCTCACATAATGAACATTTACACCTGCATTGGCATATTAGGCTCTTCAATGGTCGGCAGTGCAAGCCTGAGGCCTTAAAATAGGCATGTTAAAGCCATCTAGCAAGATGATGGCTACTGTGATCAGGCTGTTTCTTGCTGTATATAATGCAAATTCATGAGGCCTAAGTCTGGCATTTTTAAGTCCTGAAAAGTGCCTAAATAAAGATAAGGCATCTTAACTCTGAGCAACAGGTGAAGCTAGCTCTTTTACACTGCTATTCTATAGTAGCAACATGAACATGCTCATCACTAACAAGTGCTGTCAAGTCAAAATGGTCTGCCTGCTCATGAGGGACATGGCATATGAATTTCTGTGCTGTTGGGTGTATAGGCCAGATGTCCTAAAAATTGGTGGACTGTATTGAGCAGCATATCCCTTTTGGCTATTTGCAAGGTACTTCATCCTTGCTAAACTTGCAACACTACATCCAATTTTTAGACATAATTTTGAGGCCACGAGGAATTGTGCTGACAACCAATTTAAGATTGTCCATGAAGAGAAATGCACAAGTGTGCAAGAATTTGATCCATCCTTTACCCTAAAACTTGATTAGTTTAAACGTTCACAGCAGATATAATTATAGATGCCAATTGTTTTTCTTGGTATTGACGCAATTTTTATCAACCTATAAACTTTGCGCAGTTGCTGGAAATGTTGTTATGAGAAGAGTGCCAACCTTTTTTTATTATTGAGCTTTGCTTTGGTAGCTTGCACACTAATTATTGCTTTTAAAATTAATAGGTTATTGTGTTTTAACCCGATATTTTTAAATATGGGAATTTAATGGTCAATAATTGAGATTTACTTCTAATGACTTTGATTAACTTGTAAAAGATTGTGTGTGTGTGTGTGTGTGTGTGTGCGTGTGTGTGTGTGTGTGTGTGTATGCGTGTGTGTATGCATGGGATCTTTGGTCAGCCAGATTTTGAACATGAGAATTTCTCTTGAGGAAGAGACTTGGCATGACCAATGGTTTGAGAGTTTCCTTTTATTCTGCAGGTATGGCCATCACACCAACTAATGTGAAATATTATATCCTTGAGCTGCCATACCATGGAGGCACAATCAGTATGTTTGTTGTTGTCCCCGAAGATTATAATATCCCACTCTCTACAATTACTCCTCACCTCAATGTACAATCTATACATGACTGGAAGGGAATTATGAGGGAAAAAAAACTTGATATCGCCTTCCCCAAGTAAGTATGAAGTTTTCTATTTTGAAGCATTTTAGAGTAAAAAGCAAATAGCCATGTTCTAGACTTAATGTCCATGTTTGATGATTGCTATCGGTTCAGAATATAATCTTGTTTTAACTAACAGCTATGTATTTGCACACTGCACACTGAGATTGGATACCTGTCTAAAGATTCTCATTCTGACTGTCCCCTTCACTTTCCTATAATATGACTTGCTATAAACCAGCAAATGTGTTTTTGCACACTTTTTCCTAAAAAGCTTCATGTTGTAGGTTCACAGCTGAGGCAGAGATCAACTTGGAGAGTCCCCTTTCAGCTCTTGGAATCACAGATATGTTTGATAAAACTAAAGCAAATTTTGGAAAGATTTGCAGTAAGTACTTAAGGCTTTTCTAAAGTTTTCCAGAAGTATTTTTATGTACTCTTTCAACTTTTTTGATAACTTGTTGCAGGATCTGGTGAGCTGTATGTTTCACAGGTATTACAAAAGGCTAAGATTGAAGTGAATGAAGATGGAACTAAAGCTTCAGCAGCAACAGGCAAGTCTCTTGGCACTTCAAGTTTTAAAACCATAAATGAAAAGCATTTTCCTTCCTAAAGAAGTAGACTTTGTCATATTACAAATGGTAGAACTGAACGTTGCTCAATTACAGTGAGCTTGATGTGAGTAATTCCTTCTGGGAAGAATTACAAAGCATCTGTTGAACAAACATGAGGTAACAGTTGTGTCGCCAGAACAAACTTAAGAGTTTCTGCTTCAGTATATTTAGTGATCCACGTACAAGTTGAACCCAAAAATTGACTACTTGTGAAGAGTGTTTGTTTTTTTTTTAAATCTCTTAAATTTCCACTCTAGTTTGTTTATGCACTTGTTTGAATTCAAAAGTTGCCATGCACTAGTGCAGTTGGTCAATGATTTTGGAGTTTATTTTTAAAACTGTGTGCTTTTATTATAACTACATATTTGTGTGGTTATTAATGCATCTTGATATAACTGAGAATGCATTCCTCAAATGCTTTAATCCAGGGTCCATTTGATGGTTTGCACTGTGGTTCAGTTGGTGGTATGCTTGCCTCTGAATCAAAGTTTCTAGCTAAAATTGAAGCTGGCACTCCATTTACAATTTTCAGAGGTGCAGTATTTAAGAATAAACCACTCTTAAATTCAGTGATATTGTGATGAGTCACGTTTAGATAACCTGATTTTTATTTTCTGAAATAGTCAGCTATTCCTGCCTGAAGAATATTATCCATAGGGTACTTTAATTTTCCTTTTTTTTTTGATTTGTGAACTGAAATGGGAAGAACTGCTTATAAAACCAAGGACTGTTCAAGGAATTCTCAAGCAAGTAACTTTTATTGTAAGCACAGTTTACATAGGTGCTTATTTAACAGCAGTGGAAACCTAGTTTGCAGATGAGCTGGAGCCAAGGAGTGTGTACAAATGGAGCTTTGGCTGGCAACCAGTAGCTGGTCCATGGATTAGTGTCCAGTTATCAAATGACAGAAGCCTTCTGGCTGTGAACAGCAATGTGATTGGCTCCCAGGTAGCTGAAAAGCTCGTGTGAATGGTCATTTTCAGCAGAAACCATTGGACCTCTCTAGAGGTTTTTTTAAGCCTAAAGCAATTTTTCTCCTCCAGTTGCTGGAAGCTATGACTTCAAATTGATAGGTTCGATCCTTTTAAGTGGGAATCAGTTGCCCTATGCCTCGTGCAAATATGTGAAAGTATTTGGCAAAGGGAGGGAGAAGCAGTGTTCTGATCCACAAAATGATCAACTCAGGAAACCACTGAGCTGCCTTTCCAGCCTATGCCTCTGCTCATAACGCCCATTTTTTTTTTTTTTTTGTTTTTGTCTGTCTGTAGTATGTTTTTCGAGGGGTAGTTTCTATAAGGGGTTAAGAGTTGAGTGAAGTTATGTGCTGATGGTTGATTGTTTTAAAAATAAAGAAATGGTAATCCTTGTACAAAAAGAGTCTATGCTTTATCAACCTTTGTCCAAAAATCAAGTAAATGGGGGATTTGTGTAATTTCAAAAACTTATGACAATTCCAGGAATTTGGAATTTCTGGAAAACACAACGTTTGATTTCTAGCATGCTACTGCAGTAAAGGTGTAACAATAGCAAATCCAATAAAAATGATAACCATGACTTGGTCTAACTCCTCCCAGATTGGCCAAATCGAAAGGTTGTCATATTACTGTGCCAGTCAGTTTGTAGTTAGGGTGTGCTGGAACTTGATCTCTCAGCTCTGGGGAGCCACAGACTTTTGCCAAACTTGGCAATGCCATTTGCTATATGATAAATGACCTTTTTGTTTTTACTTTTTGAGGCAATTCTACATTCACTACTGAGGATCCAACTGAGGAGCCTGAAGAGTCTGAATGCTCATCTGCCTATTTTCCAGCTGCAGCTGTAAATGTGCTTCTTTGGTTTTGCACTGCAGCATGAAAATACAGAACCTCTTTGACTTTGTGGATGACATGGACTGTGTTGCACTCATCTGAAGGCAACATTCTAAGCAGAAAGAATACTGACCTCAGGCCTAACGCATAATTATTTTTAATGCCTTTTTGCTGTACAAGGTTTAGGCCATTTTGTTAACTGAATAAATTGTCAGCTTTTTAGTATTTTCCATTTTATTTTTGTAGGCAAAACAATTTTAGATTCTGGGTTTCCTTAGCCATTTTGAAGATCTGTTTTAATTCGTGGGCAGATCCTCCTTTAGACTCATCATGATTTCGCTGTAGCTGAAAACAAACTTTAAATAGACAGAACTTCGTCAGATATTAGGTTGCAAATCTCAATGTCTGCAGCTTATACAATTGAAAGGTTTTGCAACATGTCCATTAATGGCCGGTGCCAAAATTTAGACTTGAATCATCCCATAAATGACTGAAATTAGTAAAAATGTTTAATGGAGATTTGGTCAAGGGCCTTGGTTTTATTGGCAAACTTGGTTTTGAATGCTAATTTTTTTAAATTCAGCACAAGATGGCAATCTAAATTTGTGCTTGAAATTCTGCAATCCTTCTGTTGATTTTTCTAGGCCCACTGTGCTGACGGACTCGATGCAACTGAGTTGCATCTACAGGTTGGAAACATACCTTTCCCTGCTCCATGTCTTGATCAACAGTTTGGAAAAGCTTGCTTTTTTTTATTTGAGGGAGAGTTTTTCATGACTGTGTGTATCATCCATTCATGCTAAATGGTAATGTGACGCTTGTCAGGGATGTTTGAGTCTCCAGCAATGAAGTAGTTCCAGGCACTGTTCTGCATTGTCCCCTACTATTAGCTGATGCTGTTTGTGCTCAATGAAATGAATAAAGTCACAAGCAAAAACAATCTTGCCACTAACAAGATTTGAAAAAACTTTGAAGTGTGGTCTTAATCATGCTAGCTGTTTTGGGAAACAGCAGCTAATTTCCTACTGTTGGAGATCAGCCCACTAGCAAAACAAAAATTTTATGCTAAACCTATCCAAAAGGAATCAACTTGGAGTGTCATTTGTGCAACTGTAGCATGAAATTTTGGAGCATGATTGTGCTGTTGTGATCCAACAGGCTACTTAGTCTGTGCATAAAGTTCTGAATAGGTGCAGATTTACATCCAGAACTAAACATGTTCCCTAGTTTCTCCTCTTGCATGAAGACAGAAGTAGAGATGAGCTAGACTTAACAATTTACCCTTCTGAGGTATGCTTGCTGAAGGAAGTGCATATGTAACAGAGTACCGACATGCATTTACTTTGTTGGAAATAGCATGTCATGGAAAATTTATGTGGCACTTTACTGCAACATTTGAGGATCTGACTTCCAATGAAAGCTTTTAAAATACAACTATAATTTTGCACACCAAACTATGAACTAGCTTCAGGTTGTTTGCAGACTACTTTAACTGTCTAGATGTTTGGAGCTTTGCTTTTCTTCCCATTTCATTGGATGCAATTTAGAATAAATACTATATGGCTGGTGTTGATCTGCTTTGTAATACTATTTTATGGTTTATTTAATGCCTAAAATGCTCTGGTTCAGCTAGTTTGTTTTTATTACAGCTGCAATTATGATGGTAAAATCTTTGAGGATTATTCCTCCATTTGTGGTTGACAAACCATTCATCTACATTGTATGGCACAATCCTACAGGTAAGTAACTTTTTTTTTAAGAAGTGATATTGACATCAATATCAAAATATTAATGTTTGTTTAAAACAATTTATTTTGAAAGTACTAATTTTACCACTTTGACAAATATTAATTTTCAGTTGATAAAGTTTGCTGGGAATTCCAATGGTCCATCATACATGACTACACATTTAGCTGAATCATATTTTGGTTCTTTGGCACTTGTTTTGATAAACATTTATAAGCTTTAGCATTCTCAATCATTCTTTGTCAGAATTAAGTAGCATCTCTATTTATAGACTTAGCAATATTTTAAAATGCCCTCAAGTCTTTTGAGAAAGGAGGCCCTAAGCTTGCACAGAATATCAAACTCCCTTTATTGAATCACTTTTTGCCCTTCAATGGAATTTAGTGGTATATTATGAGCAGTGTTTGTTTTTTTTGAGTTGACTGGGGCTTCCTTCTTTCACCAACTGTGGGGAATTTAATTAAAGATACCTTTTCAGAGCTCCTTGTCTGTGTGTTTTTTTTTAACTGCAACAAATATACATGGTATTACATTGAGAAATGCCAAACATCGGACCCTTGGAGTTTCTTGGTATGAGCTTAACTATTTATGGACCTCCCAATTGTCTGCAAACTTGTCTCAATAAACACTTTAAAACTCTTCAAGCACTACGTAATACAATGTCTTCTGTGCAGCCTTTGTAATTCTATCAGCACATTGGTTAACTGAGACATAGGAAATGGAAAAATTACACAGTTGGCTGGAGTTTAAGGATTTAGTACTGTTTCTTTAAAAAAACAAACAATGACCAATCCCATCTCTAAAACCTCCCTAAGTTCTTTTACAAGTACTTGAGATTAATTGGGATATTACAGAATCCAAGATTGGTTGTTAGGCCCATCAATTTTTTAATTGACCCTATTTCATTCATTTCAGTGGTATGTGAGTTTCAATGGCAAGGCCAGCATTTGTCAATCCCTAGTTGTCATTGAAGACTGATTGAGCTGCCGCCTTGAACCACTGCAATCCACTTGGTATGGATTCAAAATATTTTCGGAAGAGTTACAAGATTTTGACCCAGTGATACTGAATATGTATTTCCAAGTCAAGATGGTGTGGTATGGAGGAAATTTTTGCAGGTAGTGGTGTTTCCATTTATCTGCAACTCTTTTCTAGATAGTAATAGTTATGGGTTTGGAAGGTACTCCCTAAGGAGCCTTGGTGAATTTCTACAGTGCATCTTGCAGATGGTACAGACTGCCGCTACTGAGCATTGGTATCAGAACAAGTGAATAGCACCACATCCACAGACAAACAAGCAGGCTGCTTTGTCCTGGATAGTGTCAAGCTGTCTGTTGTTGGAATTGCACTCATCCAGGCATGTGGCAAGTATTCCATAACACTCCTGTGTTATGCCTTAAGGATGCTGGACTGGTTTTGAGGAGTCTGGAAGTGAGTCACCTTGATGCAGAATTCCCATCCTCTGACCTGTTCTTGTCCTTGTAGCCTGAGTATTTATTTGCTTAATCCAGTTGACTTTCTGGTCAATAGTAATATCCCAGGATTGACATTGGGGATTTGGTGATCATAGAATGATTTTAATGTGAAGGGGCAATGGTTAGATTCTCTCGGTTATTGGCTGGCACTTGTGGCAAATAACATTTTACACCACATATTTAACCCAAACCTGGATATTGCCCAAATCTTGTAGCTGTACTGAAATAGCTTGGCTAGAGGTGGGGCAAGTTCTGGAAAAAGTCTTCAGTAATATTGCTGGTAGGCTGCAGATGTTAAACATTTGTCAGCATTCGGGCCTCTAGATATTTCTTGGTTTCTTTTCATGGAGCGATTTTGGCTACAGCAAAGACTGATATCTGTGGTCCTGGGGACCTCTGAAGGTAGCAGGATGAATCATTCATTTGGCATTTCTGGTTGAAGATTGCAAGGCACTTGGAACAGTGGTGGACTGGGTTCCCCATCTTGGATATTTGTGGAACTGCATTCCCTGCTAAGTTATCTAATTGTCCAGCATCATTCATGACTGGGTGTGGTAGGACTACAGAAATCGAATCTGATGCAGTGAGTGTGGAATTGCTGTGTTCTGTCTATTGTTTTTTTTTTACTGCTTCTGCTGTTGGGAATGCAAGTAGTTTTGTGTTTATAGTTTTTAACCTGGTTGACTTTCTTATGCCTGGTGTTCTTCCTGGCATGCCCTGCTGGACTTTACGTTTGAACCAGGGTTGGTTTTTTTCCCCTGGTTTGATGGTAACTGTAGAAGTGGGAGATGTGCTTGGCTGAAGGCACATTGTGTTCCAATGTTTCTTTGTTTTTTGATGGCCCATGGGGCATCTCATGGATGCCAACTGTAGAGTTGCTAGATCTGTTCTATCCTTTTAACATAGTGTTGCATAACATTGTAGCATATTCTGTGTGGAGACAGGACTCTTTCCTCCTCCTCCTCCTCCTCCTCCTCCCCCCTCCCCACCCCACCACCTGCTGCAGCTGATGTTGTGGGAGATGTATTAAATTAACTGGGCTATATTTGACCTGATGCAATGGGACTTGGCCTCGGTCAATATTGAGGACTCCCCAGGGCACTCCTACTGATGGGGACAGAATCCACCAGGAATGATGAAGGTGCTGTCTAGGCCATTATCTGTAAAGTGTGTGATTCTGAAAATACGACTGTTGGGCTGTTGCTTCACTACATTGAGACAGCTCTCCCAATTTTGCAACAAACTCCCAGATGTTAGTAAAGAAGGCTTTGCAGTGTCAACAAGGCTGAGTGTTTTTTTGCTCTGTAGATCTCTCGTGCTTAAATCTATGCCAGATAATCTGTCTGGCTTTTTGTTTTGATGATTTGATACAATTGAATAGCTTCAGGCCATTTCAGAGGACAGTCAATGTGATTGACTGTTACTGTGGATCACGTCGGTCAGACTACAAGGATGTAAGAATTCGCTCATCTCCCCCTTTCTTTTTATCAAGTCATAAATTTGTTCCATGGTGTTCGTGATAGATCGATGAAAATAAATCTGTCAATATGATCCTCTGTGGTTGTCATGGAGAAATGAGTACAAATTCTCCTTTTGCAAATAACTCTAACTCTACATCCTCCACTCCTTGTATGCCAGTCATTGTATGCACTTCCATGCAACACCTAAAATTACAAGCAGCATTTAAGGATGTCAAAAGGTGATGGTTCAAAAGAAATTGGTCTATGATCAAAGTAACATATTTGCATTGTTAAAAGCTGTTTTGTGCAGGTGTGCATGTGCAGACACCACCTGAATTTACTATTGCCTGAAAATGTAACTTATCCTCTGACCTCATTTTCTGGAATAATGTGATGTGTTTTTGAGGAAAAGCAAGAAGTTTGGCATGCATGCTCCAAAAGAGCCACTGAAAGGCGTGAGTGTGTGTGCATGCATGCTTGTAATAACAAGACCTGGCTATTCAAATGCATTCTGTTCCTGAACTTGCAAGCTGACATATTCAAAATGCTAAGCGTTTATAGCCGCAATCAAAAAAAAAAAGTCCGATGTGCAGCTATTTAAAAGTTACAATATATCCTGTACATTAATTTTGCTAACATTGTCAACAATTTTACTTTGTCAAATTCCTCCCTTTGATTTTTACATAGACTAAAATAGTTCAAACTATTTCATTTTTATTGCCTTTCTATACTTTTCAATAACTTTTAAATCATATTGCTCCGTAACTACACTTGGATTTTAACATTTTGCCTTTCCACGCATCCTTTTTGTGCGGTTCTCATGATCAACTCTCCTACCCCAAACCATTTTTTGGGGTCTCATCTCGTTTAACAGGAAATCAATTGTGCTGAGTTGGTGCTAATTTGAATTTAGGAAATCTGGCTACTTTTCAGTGCTGAACCAGGCAACCATGAACCTGTGGAGTGGGTGGCAAATGAAAGATTCTGCCGCTCCTCTCCTGGTCCCAACAAAGTGAAAGGAGATAATTCTGCTTCTTGTAGAGTGGGTAGTAATAGTTCCTCTAAGTGGATTGGTTCAGGCAGCTCCAGATCAGGAACCAATAGATGAGGTATCAATCCACAATATGGTGAAATTCTACAACAGATGTTCTAAATACAGGTTGTGGATTCTTGGTCAATTTTTAAAATGACTTCAATAGATCTGTTTGGAAAACCATTTTGGGTCTAACATGTATAGACTTGCATCCCAGATGCTAGTACTTGTTTGTGGGAATATTTAAGTGTCTAAAAAAAAAAAATTCTAAATTTTTAAAGCAATTGTTAAATAGTATGCAATGCTTTATCTACACTGACATTTGCTTAACTGAAGTGATAGCTTGGTATGAATTACAAAGTAACAGCTTTTCTTCTCTGATTTGCTTATGCAGGGACAGTCCTTTTCATTGGACAAGTTTCAAAACCATAAGAAGCCAATTTCGATAGGACAAGTTTCAAATGGGTTTCCACTATAAATGCAGGAAATGTCAAATTGCTGCCTTCCAAGTGGCTTGGTGAAATGCAGTGCTAATATATACAAACACTGACTTTAAGAATGGAATGAATAATAGCTTTACATGGATACATTTTTACCTTGCATTGAATGTTTGATTTTGTAATTTTGGTACAGAATTTTAATATTTGTTTTATACAAGTGTAGTATTGCACCTGAGAGGAACACTAAGCATTTGAGTGATTTTTTTTTCTTTTTTCTTTTTCTTTTTTTGACCAAGTATTACTGGATCGAAACAAAATTCTGAAATTTTAGATGGAAATGTTGAACAGTTTTTTTTTTTTTGTTTGAGAAAATGGTCAAGTTGGTTCAGTGAGAAATGTCAATGTGCTCTTATCCAAGATAAAACAAAGTTTCAAATAATTCTACACGGTTTCAGTTTTGCATATATTTTAGTTGTGTAGAACCACCATCTTGTTTTTCTTGGAAAATTGCCCACCATTCTCATTCATTATGGAGCTTCTATGTAGTAATTTCAAAGACATGGAAAAGGTCAACAAACCTCTAGACTTGCACAGTAATTCATACTACTCTCTTCAGGCTAAATTTTAACCAGTTTGAAGTTAAATATTTTGGGGTATAAATTTTAAAAATTTGATAACTACTTTGCTGTGCAAGTTGCTGCCCATATTTTTTTCAATAATGAACAGTTTTTTTAATTCTCAGAAGCAATTCAAATTATTTGACTAAATGCTGGAGTAATTGTGTATTAATATTTATTTCAACACAAGGAAGTAACATGGTTTCCTGAATAATTATTATAGCAAAGATCTTTCTGCATTTTGAAATGTTATGCAATCTGATTTGAAAGAATGCTTTGCTTTACACTAAAATCAAATCATTCATTACCAATAACCTTCCCTTTTTAAATACTAACAAAATTGGTGTCCTATCTGAATGTTACTGCCTCATTGCTTATTTGTGAAAGTGCATTACAACATGAAAATTTGTGTTCCCAACATGTATAGTATGAAGATCATCTTTTTTTAAATGCTGTTCAAGATTTTGTTTGATTTGTCTAAATAGGAACTCTGGTTCAACATGTAGATTTTATCTGACCTATAATTTTGAACAAAGTGTAGAACATTTGCAATAAACAATGGAAACATTTTTAATGTCTTAATAAAATGAATTTAGTACCATATCTACTTGACTGTCATGTGTCAACCAAATCTTTTCATGTAAGAAAAGCACTTTGAGGCTATAAATGCAGATTTTTAGTGAGATTTTTCACTGGTTGCAGAATTGGCATTAGCTCGTGTTTTCAAATTTAAGCTCCTTCTCTGGCACTGCTCCGTAAGTCTGAGTATACGATATATATAGGGATAAAGATTACATGTAAAAATATTTTAAATGTATTTTAGATTTCCAGGGTTGCATACTTAAATGGATTTTTCTCCATTTTTGAAGAGGTCACTTTTCACTAAAAACTATATTTATAGATGTTAATGTACATAAGATTGCAAGTTCTCAAACTGTTTTAATACCAATTTTCTCTGGCATCTGATCAGTGAGTTGTAAACACTTTGTCAATGTTTTGAAGAACATGACTTAAGGAGACTTGTTTAAAATAGCTTCTAGATCTAGGTTGTATGAAGTTTCTCACTCTTGTAACTTCACAAAAATGTCAATATTTATTTGAGAGCAGTTTTGAAGTAGCAGGGGGAAAAGTTTCTTTTTCTTTTTATTTTTTTTTCTTTTTTTTTCTTCTTTTTTCAGGTTTCTGTATAATCCAACCCTCCTTGCCTCCAAGCATAGGCCTAAGTCATGGGCTGGAAATTTCTCAACGCTGAATCAGTGTGGGGCTGAATATAGTATTTAACCTTGCACAATGTGCTAATTTGGTGCTGCGTGCTCAGTTGGTTGGACAGCTTGTTTGCAATGCAGAGTGATGCCAACAGTGTGGATTCCATTCCTGGACCAGCTGAGGTTACCATGAAAGACTCCCTCTTCTCTACCTTTTTCTCCTCCTTTTTGAGGCATGGTGACCTTCTGGTTAAAGCACCATCAGTCATCTCCTCTTTTTCTCTCGAGAGAGCAATCCTATGTCCTAGTAGGACTATAGCTACCTACTTTCTGTAGTATCCAACCAGTGATAGCTGGTGATTTATTTGTTTTTTGTCTTTAGCTGAATGTGTTAGTGGCTAATGCCACCAGTAGTTAACCTGCACCTCCTTAATGATTACAACCAGAAAATACTGGAAATCTGGCAGCATCTGTAGAAATTATTTATTTGATCCATGCCCATTTTCAACAGAACTGGCATGTTGTTCAAGCATAAAAAATGCAGTGTAAGTACTGCACTAATGTGACACTGACTTGGCATGCAGATGCTACCGCTTAATTCTCTTTAAACCACAATGTAAAAATAAAAGCCACATAGTGCAGTTGTGTTAGTCTGTGGTGGATAGTGTAGGTCTGTTGGTGAATGGGAAAGTTGGAATTGCAGTTATTGGAGGTTTTCCGGGGCAGCCTGGCTAAAAGTATTACGTCACCTGAGGAGGCAGCAATTTTCTTTTTCTTTTTGTAGTGGCAAAGACTCAGCTTTTTTATGATTAGTGAGATGAACTGTGCACTATACAGCACTCTCGGGTGTTTTGACACCAGAGTTATACGAGGCTTCACAGCACTTCAGACAGTGCAAGCAATGGCACATTAAAACGATCCATGCTCTCATTGTGTGGCAGTATGGCTTTCTTTGAAACAGACTGATTTTTGACACTGGATTCACCAGACGTGTAGCCAGTCCTTAACTTGGTAGTCCTCCTTTTGGCTTTCCCTATAGATAGCTATCGTGCCCTGATTCCACGGCTAGGAAGTTTTTTGAGTTGACGGCATGATTTGTTGCCAGTAGTCTCATCAATTGATTATCGAGGGAATAGAATCTTTTCTAATTCCAGTGCATGAATTTACACGATTACCCTGCTGCCACTCTATAGTAAGGCAATGAAACATGGCTTGGTTTTGCTGAAAGTGATTCCCATCCCCACGCCTGACCTTTGCCATCCACAATTGCACAAACTCTGGTAGGTCCAGCATCCAGTCAGGTGGGAGTTGGAAAGTTCATTTTGTTACACTTCCTCAGGTACTGGCAGTGATGTTCATGCTCACTTTTAAGGTTGACGCTGTTGCAGTCCTCTTCCCCCAGCCTTCTGTTCCTTTTAAACAGGAACTGAAAACACTTGGTAGAGTCAATGCCAACTGTTGAAGAAATCTACTTTTTAAAAAGTCTAGTTGCTGATTGCCAATCACTTTTTTTAAATACAATAGTGAAGGATGGGACAAAGTACGGTGGTTTGGCAGCAACTAGAGGGCCAGGGAAGCAAGAGTCTTGGTTGCAACTGAAAACCTCAAGGATTGGGATAGGCCTCAAGCAAGTGGGAGGATCAGGGAACAGGTCATGAACTGAGATAGCAGGCAAGGTGGGGAAGGAGCTGAGGAAGGGTTGGTAGTGGCTGTAAGCTTCAGTGAGCAAGGGAGGCTGTTCTAATAAAGGTGAGCATGACCTGAACACCAATGACAGTGCAAAACTGTTTAGAAACTGCTGTGATTGAGCATGCATGCAGGCATAACTCATAACATTTTAAGTATTTAGATATTTGCTTGTGTTTTCACTTCTTCTGGGGATTTGGGCCAAAAGCCGGAAAATGGGTTTGGTATAGTCAGATCTTCTGACCAGCATGAACACATTGGGGCCATTAGCCCCCCTCTTGTACTGTGTACACAAACGCATTGTGCCATATAAATCAAAGACAGCCTTTGAGAAGCACTCCAGCAATCCTGTTTTCTTTCCATAAGAAAACAGTTCAGAATCATTGTGAAAGGATAGTGACGGCAGCCCTCTTAGGTTGCACACATGAATTGTGGTAGTCACGCCTCCGAGGCCGCAGGAGCAGTTGGCCTTAAACAGTGTTGTATGCATCCTTGTGGACTCTGGCATTTGGCATAATGCTGGAAATCTGAAACAAAGATAAATTGCTGGGAAAATCTCTGGTCTTGGATCATCTGTGGAGCAAAATCAGTTAACATTTTGGGTCCAGTGACCCTTTTTCAGAACCTGTTCTACTGCATTTGAGATTAATGCTGTCAGTGCTAATCTGCAGTGGATTGTGATTTCCTCATGGTCAATGTTCATATGCACCTCTATGCTCTTCAGGCAAATAATAAGACTGAAGGCATTTTCTGCTTAGTGTACTCTCTTTGAGCTACATTTTGCCCTTGTGTTGGATGTACGGAAGCCAATCATCAGCAAACAAACTCTAAGCTCTTTATTAGAGTGGGCCAGTAGTCAATACAGGTTAAAGAGACTATTATCTGCTTTGAAAAGGATGTTTATATTTCCTGTCATACCTTTTCATTTGAAAAAACTGACAGTTTGTGTCAGAACATGCACTACTTTAAGATCATTGGATACAGACACAATGCAAAATTTTTGTTCAACTTTGAAACTTCCTGGCTTTCACATGCTTGACAGAGAATGGAGAGGAGCCTTGCAGGGCATCCCACTATCAATGTACCCTCAAGACTGTCTGGCTGTCTGTATTGAATGCCTGGTGAACGAGTCTATAAGGAGCAGTATGTCCAAAATTTCTCCTGCAACGGAGAATAAGGTGATTCCCTCTAGTTTGAACAGTAAAATCTTTGTCTCATTTTGCAGAGGGAGATAATAAAAGACCTGGAGACACCATCCCTTTCTCCCATCATGCTGCAAGTCTAATGAGGACCACATCTCCTTCCTGTTTATAGATCTTAACTGGAATCCTATCTATTCTAGGACCTCTCCTGCATGAAAAAGCTCGTCATTTCTCTTGACTAGCAATGCAAGTATTAGCAGTAAATTTGTGCTATCCAAAGATTTTAGTTGGGCCTACACTACACATGGTAGAAGTGCTCATTTACAAAGCCTTGACATCTGTGTAAGAATGTTTATAACTCCTACAACTGCGTATACATTTGTAGTCTCTCAGTGACTGCTGTCTACTCATTTGAATGACTTGAAAGTTGGTTTGAAAAGTACACCAGTATGTTCGACAAATGTATAATTTGTAGCTTTGTACTTGGAGCATGCAACTAATTGATTGTTACAGAAATGACTATTGAAGAAACTAATAACATCATATGATAATGACAAGAAACTGATAATATTGCAATTAACACATTTAGGAATCAATTGATTCTATGTTGGTGTATTTTTAGTTGATTATATGGCAAGTTTCTCAGAAAATCTAAAATAAAATGCTGCAAAGTATTAAAACAAACTTTCAATTAAATGTATGATGCCTTCCTTAGCATGCACCCTGTCACCACCAACATCCCCACACTCCTTTCCATACCTCCCCATCCCACACACCCCCACGAACAGCAACAAACAAATTAGTGATTTCACATGTTACTGGAGTCCAATGTGATAATATTGGGTTTAAAATAATGGATTAAAAACCTATTTGCCAAGAATTAATATTTGCATTAGTGTAAAGGAAGAACTTAAATCTTCTATTCCCACATTGTGTTTAATGCCTTCAGGATGCTTTAAGCACTTTACAAATAATGGATTGTTTTTGTCATTTGTGCAATAGCGCACTGTTGTTGGTAGCAATGACAATTTTACCAAAAGATCAGATCTAGAACATTCATTCAATATGTTGCTTAACTGTATATTTTGAAAAAGGGCTTGCTGTTGTTTTGTCAGGCGCTTCCTGGGCCAGCAAATCAAGCCACATTGACTACACTGCTTTTAGTGCCTCATTACCTCGCCTTTTTTTTGCCTTACCTGTTAACATTTGACACAATAACTAGCAAAAATAAATCTTTCTGTTTCATGTGGAGGAGATCTGTCAGTCAAACAACCTAGTCTTGTACAACATCAAAGGGAATTCATCATGCAGTGCTACTAAATTAATGTAACAAAAACACAAAAGAATTTGACATTCAACCAAAATAAAACACTTTGGCAGTAACTTTGACTTTGTAAGATAGTGTACAGTGGGCAATAGTGAATCAGCAGTTTCTTTGATAGCCCTCCGATTTTTTTGAATTTCTGTTGGCATACAATGTGTTGTCACCTCATGTTGCGATGCTGATGTTTGGAGTTTCTTTACTGTGGAATAACAACATCTTTCATCTAATATTTGGAAATTTTAAAAC